ATTTTTTAGTATCTAAGTATATATATTCATAAATACTTACACGAATGTTTTTCGCAAAAAAAAACAAGAATTTTTAATTTAATTATTTTTCTTTTGCACTGAGACTATATATTTGGTGTGAAAATTTTTATTTAATAACTATTCGATTTACATATTTATGTACTTAAATCTTACACTTTTTTATATAATGCATATGTGAATCTACTTATCCACAATTATTTTACTATAACGGCCGCCAAAAATTATTTTACATAATTTAACTAGGTATTTAGTTGTTTTCTTGTTTTTTCGTTTTTTAATTTTAATGGCTAAGACGCACTCTGATTTAGCAATTTTGAACTAATTGTGAAATTTAGGTGAATTGTTTTTGTATTTGTATTTGCAGCTTTTTTATTATTCTCTTTTTGGTTTTCAGAAAAAAACTTGCGCTTGCGAAAAGGTGAGTTTTAATTTAAGAATTTATTTTATTTTTTCCTTGTGGCTTGCTTGGATCTGCTCTATATTAGAATTGGCAATTTGCTTAAGAGCTGTTATTTATGCATTTTTTTTTTTTTAATTTCAATATTTTCATATTTCATATATTTTCATAATTTTAATTTAAAAACTATGCTACAATTAATAAAAATTGTTGTGTATGTAATTAAGTTTTAAATTGACAAAAATGTACTTTAAGTTTTCTCATTGTTTAATGCAAAAATTTTTGTATTGCATCTTTGGTTTATTTAACTTTCTTTTTAAAATATTTACAATCGACGATTTTCTTTAATCCCTTATAAATTTAATTTTGTATGCCATTTTTATTATTAGCCTTTTTTTCAAAACTTCGCATGTTATTTTTAATGATTTTTTAAGTATTTTGCAGCAGATGACGTTTTAATTTATTTTTTATTAATTTCATTATTTTTTAACCTTTTATTTAAAAAGTTGACGCCCAAATTTATAAAAAATAGAGGATTTTAACTGTTTTATAAATCGGAAAATTCAAATAAAATGACGTTCAAGAAATCGATAAAAACTGCTCTTCAAACAAAATTGTCTTAAAGCAGTTTACAGCTCTGAAGCAAAAATGAATTTCCACTGGATTACAAATTAAAATTAAATTACAAAAAATTAGATGAGTAATTTGGGCATTAAAATAATTCCATATAGTTATGTTTATAAAAAAATAGTCACTTCAACGCGACACTTTTTCTATGGCAAACATGGTTTTATCCTTTCAATTCCCAGTGAAAACTCCGCATTAGGTTGAAATAAGCACATGCATACATATTTATTTAGGTAAACCTATATATATTTTCATTATGCTGTTAAGTAATTCAGTAAATTTACATTGAATCTACAGTATGCTTCTCGTTTTGTCATCCACTGAAATGTTTTTTTTTTTTTTAATATTAAATATGGGATTTCATACATTATTTGGTGATTTATTATTACTTATTATTGTTTCTCTTTATTTTGTTTCGTCATTTTAAAGCAAATTTTATCTCACAGCCTTCTCTTGATATTCTTTCAAAAAGAATCTTACTCAAACGCATTCGGCACATTCGCCATTTTGGACCTTCTCAATCTAATTTTCGTGATTTACGGCAACCAAATTTTCGCAAAAAAAACTTAAATTTTTTATTTTGAATTTGCGCTAAAATAATATAGCCTTTGTGCAATATCTACTAAGTAGTATTGCTACTTTTTGTAGATGCTTTAAAACTAAGTTTAACACCCAATAGTTGGGGTACTCGCGGAATACCGTCTGACGCCATCTCATGCTTTCAAGTTAGAACTGATATAGAGTGAAAAATTCGTGGCCTATAATGAAGTTGACTTCAAAAGTGTAATATAACATATCTTGAGTTGCTGTACAGCTTTCCGAAGATCGCTATCTAGAATACGCTTTTTTCTCCTCACTGAAAAAATGTGCACACCAAAGGACTAAAACAGTGTCAGAGTGACTAAGGTCCACTTTCTGGACACCGTCATAGTCTTATTATGGCGATCGCCGTGGCCGAGAGCGGTTAGAGGTGCACACTACCAACCGGCAGGAACTAGGTTCGTTTTTTTCTAGTATAGGGTGATTCAAGGATGAAGCAGATCTTTGACAGCCAGATTTTGTGATATGTAAATTTTTATTTTTTTTTATTTTGTTTCAGGCAATTTGTATTACAGGCTTTGGCAAACTTAGTCATGGAGCGGTACTCAGTTGCACAAAGCGTAAAAGTGATACAAACGTTTTATGAAAATTGTCATTCTGCAAGCAGTGCAGTGTCCTTTGTGATACCACAGTTATTGGAACTTACTTCTTCGAAAATTATGCAGGTAACGGTGTTACGGCGGACGGTGAACGTTATCGCGACATATTAATAAACTTTTTATGGCCTAAATTAGATCACGTGGACTTGGACAATATGTGGTTTCAACAGGACGGTACCACTTGCTACACAGCGCATGAAACAATGGCTTTATTGTGAAAGTAGTTCCCAGAACGCAGGACCAGAGTGAGGTCAAAT